CAGAAGTGGTCATGCATGACAACACACGCATACATGCAATCAGACATTTTAGATAAGTGGGCAGCGGATTCCCTCAGTAATGAGATAATGATTAATTCTATGGCTGTGATTTATATGAGAGGTCTATATTATGTAGGTTAATCCTCATTGATTTGGGTATAATGGATTTTCTAAGATATGTCAATCTCTCATAAGTGATATTGAAGGGTAAAAGGCTAGAGGCCTGACTCATGTCCTGTCTGTCTGGATTGATAACCAAGGGGCTGGAGATGAAAGGCGGAGAGGAAAGGTGTAAAGAACTGATGTATGGAGATAAAAGTTGAGAGGATAAACGAAAGGCGAGAAATAAACGATGAGAGGGGATGAGGCAAGAAGTGAAGGAATGGAACAGAAGGAAGGTTTGCCAGGAGAGCGGGGAGGAGGGGGGGCAAGCGGAGATATGGAAACTGAGGAGAGAAACAAGAGATGACAGAAACAGGAAAAAAGAAGGGGATGAGAGGATAACAGATAAAAGAGCAGAGGATGAGCAGAGAGCCAGCCACCCCACAGTCACGTCACACAATTTACTATGTTCTGGCCCATAATGTTTTATAGCACAATCATTGATAGCACAGTAGTCAGTAGCGATCTCATTTCACAACCCATATCCTTCAGTAATGTGAACACAAAGGGAGAAGCAGAGCTATTAGCAGTGTCCAGTAGTCATCCGCTGCTACTCATGCATAATTGGCTTTCATGGAAGGAAGCAAGAAAGGGTAAACAGCAAGCAATCATATTAACTCCTGCGAATCCTAATTGAAATCCGTTAACAATCAACAGAGATAATAGAGGCTGAGGAGACATGGGCAGTTCACACCCCGAGCCCTCTGTCTGCTCTTCATATACTGATACGCATCAAGACGTGTTATTATGATAATCGATAGTTACGCTTGTACTCGACGGTCGTGTAAACACCAAACATCTGAGCATGAAAGCAGTGAGGTGAGATTTCACCTCAGTGAGGGATAATTTTTCAAATTTAAGTTTGTTCTCTTTTCCGCCCGCCTCACGCTCTGCAAGATTCAAGCGGGTTTAAAAATCGAACGATGTCCAGAACTGTCAGTGTGTTTTTTTTAATGCAATCAACAAAATTGCACTATTAAAACAAGATCAATATTAATTTCATAACTGTCTGTTAAATACGGAGCCAAAGCAGGCACACAGTAATTTAGCTTAGCATAAAAAAAGCGCTGGAAGCACTGGGAGCCAGCAAGGCTAGATTACCACCTTGTTTTATCAAGTTATCCATCATGCGTTTAATATGTGCAGCTTGGATATGAAGTAAACAATATGCTAAATGAATTAAATGAGTGAGTTTCCACAAGGCAAGGCTAGTAATTTTTCACCATTAAACTGAGCTAACTGTTGCTGATTCAGGCAACATGCACGAAATATACACAAGACAGTCACTATCCAGAACTGAACCAATACATAAAGGCTGCTTTGACTGCATCATTATTAAAGTACTGTGTGTCTTCTAGCAAGTTTTATTCAGTGTTATCATGTAAATGCTACAGATTAATGCTTTCAATCAATGTTATTTAATTTGTAGAAGTGTTAATTCTAATAAGAAAAGATAACAAAAATACTGTAACTGGAATGTTAAAGTCTTAAACCACTAGATGGGGTGCTTGTCTCTTCACAGTTACAGTCACTTTATGCAAGAGACTGGATGAATGAAGAACATTTCAAAGTGGAGATAGTCATGTTGTGCCTAAGTATGCTGTTTGTGATTCAGATTATGCAACGTGAAACAAAAAAAACCTCACCAGGTTGTGGGAGCTTTGAGTAAGATATTCTTGAATAATGCACTGCAATCACAGTGAACACAGAACATATGGAGCATCTGAGCAGCTCCTCGTGACAAGCAAACAGTCTCATACTGCCTGCAACTCCTTTTCAGCAAAGAACTCATCCAGACTGCAAATTCGCCCGGGGAAAGAAAAGAAATAAAATGCAACGCTCCAAATCTTTACCCAGGCACTGACTCATTTATATTTGAGAACCTGGCTGCCAGCCATGCTAACAAAAAGCTGTTGAAAGACACTGAACAAGGGTGCACCTATTCAGGTTCAAAGGTTCACAACTGGCACACAGAGGTAGTGGAAACACTTCATCTGCGGGACTTGGGAGGTCATGTCGGACTTTCCTGCGCAATAATGTGAGAGTCAAACCTGCTTTTGTGTCTCAACCTAACATGTCACAATGTCCGTCATTTATTCAGTGATTGACTCTCAGTTTGACATGACTTGTTTCACCTGAGTTTCCTTCACTTTAGCTTGTTTTTCAAATCACATCACCAAATGTTTTGTGATATTAACATATTTTTCATTTAGGACTCACGCTGGAGTGTTTTTCGCTCTGCAGTGTGACATATCCTTCGGAGAGATGTTTTATTTTTGTGTTGTTTGTGTAATGTTGTTTACCTGTGTTCATCTTTCTTTTTGCCTATCTTTGTCAGGTTTTTCTTGAAAGAGATGTTTAATCTCAGCGAGGTTTTTCTGAACCAAGGTATTATTTTTAAACAAGAGGAAGTATAATAACAAAAGAAGTCTGAAATAGTCTTTTCTACATCCCCGCATGTCTTTAATGTTCAACAAAAATATTCTTCTTACATCTGAGAATTTAAAGCTTTATATTATCGACTCTTAGCGAGCTTTGCAGTTTCTCAAGGGCAAGATAAGAGCAGACGTTTCGCTGTGCACCACTGCGTTTCTTTTTTTCCCCCTTTCCCCCTTCCCTGCAGCAGATGGTAAAGAGAAAAAATCACTTTCTGCTGGGGGCAGGATGCATCAGGGTCAGGGTTTAAGCTTTGAGGTCCACTCTGAACCTGGCTGACTTGACAAGCGTATTTTGCATTGGCTGAGTCCAATCACATATATGAGAAGGAGGGAGGCAGGATTTGCGAAGCAGCTGGATACAAAGATACTGATTAGATTAGGGATTTTACAGAACAGCGGGCTGAAGCAACAGACACCAGCCTGACAACAGACGCACACCGGAACATGCAGAGACAAATAGAGACTCCCAAAAAGATCTGCAGGCAATCTCAAGTGGAAAAAAGGTGGAAGAGATGAAGAAGGTGCTAAAAGTGACATTCCAGGGGACCTCATTCTGTTAAAAGTACACAGACTATTACTGTATGATGAGAGACAATCAGCAGAAAAGGGCAAAAATAATTGTTTTGCAATTTAGGAGAATAAGCTGCATAGACGCTCAACTCTTTTTCTTTTGTTTACCTCCTCGTGCTTTGATTGAATTGATCTTGGGAGTCAAAATCAAAAATAATAAAGTACCACAATTGTTCAACCACATCAAGAGCAGCAAAACAAGGGCCTGCCTGAGCAAAAGAATACGTTCCCCACACAGTTACACCGAAGCTAAAACCAAATGCTGCCAGTGACATCACACTGGCACAATCATGAACCTAATTTAAAGCCTCATATGCCAAAACCATGAATCATTATCAGCTTATGCACACTCTGGTTTATAGGTCATGTGTGATCCCCTTATAATCAGGGACTTGGGGACTAACACTACAGCAATACATTCAGCAGCCCATTCAGCAAACGGTGCTAGGAGTGTTACATAACACCTTAAAACAATCAATGAAAGGTGAATATTTAAAAAGCTATCGAGATTAAGGCTTTCTTTATAGTAGGACAAGGTTCAATTTGCAGGCAAATAGACAAATTACTAAGAGAGCCATTTGAGCCACATTACAAGCCCACGTAAACATAACACCTACAAGAAGGGCTTGTTTAGAATCCATTCCTAACATATCTCAAATGTACACGTGTGGGTGTATGTATTTCTTACATGTTGCAGCCAAGCTGATGACTAGCCCTGGGACAAGATTGTGTCATTGCTTTTTCATTTCAGCACAAACACAGCCAAATGTGTTTTCTTCATGCTCAACCCATTTTTAAAAACAAAAAAACCCCCCAAACAAACTAAGGAGCAGGTTTTTAAATCGATCTCTTGTTGAAGTTAACATTCCTCCTTAGTCGTTCTCATCCACATTTCTGTGGACACCGACATCTTTCTCCATTACCCCAACGTCTGAGAAGTGAAGCCCATCCAGCGAGTTTGAATCCGTGGGGAATCAGGTTATGTGCCTCTGCAAAGTGAGTGAGTGAGTGAGTGGGAGTCAGTCAAAGCCCCGAGCACTTGCACAGAGGGAGGTGGTGGGTTGGGGCTAGCAGAGAGGAGGTGGCTGCTGGGAGGCAAAGCTAATTCACTGTGACAGAAACCAGAGCTGTCAGGACCACCATGACCAAGCACCATGGACAGCATATATCCAGTCAAACCCACAGCCAAGAGATGGGAACGGAGCGATGTTGGAGTTCAGAAAGAAAGCAGAGGATGTACTGCATAAGGCACTTAGAGGAAGAGTGAATGTGTGCATATTCGGGGGCAGGAGGAAGCTAATGTCGATCGACTTAAAACCACTCAAATAGACGCAGAGCACACAGGTGAGGAAAAGACCCTAAGAGCCTGAAAGCCTTCAAAATACACCAAAAGATGAAGAGGGTTTCCAAGCTCACAGAAAAAACAGGTGTATTTACAGCATTAAGAAAACCAGCACTAAGACACAGTCACACATACTCAAAGAAAAACAAAAACACATCGAGCACAGCCAAGTTTCATGCCCCTGGGATTACTGGTGAAAGGTTACCGGATAACACATGCAATATTCATGTGTAAAGCTCCTGGGCTCTGCTAATATGTTAGCAAGCAAAATCATACAAATCTACTAGCACACTAACAGATCAGTGTGGGAAAACTGATATTGGTTAAAAATGGAGAAAGAGAGACAGAGAGAACGAGGAGGGCAGCCACCAGCATGATTACTTAATGATGAGAGAGGGAGACACAAGACTGGTCTCTAAATGACACGGAGAAGGAGGGGGGATTGTGGGAGATTAACTGAGCTCTATGCTGTTTGTTATACACTGCAAAGCACCGCAGGATGTTTCTCGAGCGGCACTCTCATTTGGGAAGAGGAGAAAAAGCCTGCTAGGGGGACCTTAAAGTTAGCTGAGGAGAACGGCGGGAGCCTTGAATTATTCCTCGAGCGCCTCGGGAGGAGGATCCGAAAGGAGATAAGGATTAGACAGCTATGTTGTGGGTATTCATTGATGGGGATACAACTCTGAAAGCGGGAAAACGAAAGAAAGTTGGAGTCTCGTATTGTCGCTAAGCAGTTTATTTTGGATTTGTGGTTTGGCCGTGTGTTCCTTTCTTCATTTTATTTTTTTGGAAGGGAGAATGAGATTAACTATCTGAACAAAATTGCTCACTTGTCTGGGAGTAGTGTGAACTTTTCTCCTTTTGAGCTTTTAATTTCATAAAGACTTAAAAACATTTTTGAAGGTAAAGTATGTCCACACTATGCTTTCACAATGTGCTGAAAAGTTTTTAATTATATAGAGCTGTGGTGATTAGTCAGTTTATGAATTTGGTGATTAAAGGGAAATTAGTTGGCATTTATTTTCTGTAAGTTTGGTATAGATGAGTTGTTAGAGTTCAGAGGTATTGAACTGAAAAAAGCTTTATGTCGCAGGCTGAAAGACACTTTTCTGCTGTGATTGCGGATAATCTCAGTTTACATCTGCCTTTTTTAAAGTTTTGGCTTTGGCCTCTTTGTTAGCTGCTGAATGCTCAGTTAATAACACACAACAATCGATGTGCCAAGAAACAATAAAAATAATTGTCATTTAGAGACAGTGATTACTGTGTATACAGGTCCGCGTGTAGCTGGACAAGAACACAGTTTTCACAATTTAGACTGTGCACACTCAATGGATTTTAAATGAAGCAATCAAGATGTGATTGCACTGCACTTTCAGCTTTAATTCAAGGGTGTAAGCAAAAACATTGCCTTAACCATTTAGAAATTACAGCCAATTTTATACACAGTCCTCCTTTTTCAAAGAATTAGGTTTAAGCGAGCCAACTGAGCAGTTCATGGTTGGTCAGTTTACACGTTATTCATGACAAATTAAGAAACTGATTTTAAGTGTTTGGTTTGGGCTAAGTATTTTTATTGTGTAGCCGTTTATTGAAAAGATGTGAACATAGAAAATAAGAGGTCATCATTAGACTCGAAAAACAGAAACAAAACAAATTATCAAGACAATAAGAGTCTATAACTGTAAGTGTATAGAGGTGTAACAGAGACTTTATAAAATAGCTGAAAACTATAGTCGATTTCTGTAGTAATACAAACTGTGGTTCAAGTAAAAAATATTTTTTTAAAGAAAATATACTTTTAGGTAAAACTCAGCATTGATTTTAAATGTTTTTTATCTGATCTGACTGACTGATTCTATTTTGAAAGTTTAATACATTTTAAAAATATTCCAAAATAGGTACCCAGAGGGGTTTTAAGATAACGGCTGGCGAGACTTGCTTCTAAAACGACCTTGGTTGGACTTTTTGCGTAAGATCAGTGAAATGCTGCAGAATGGAACTTCACAACTGAAAAATAAAATATACTGAGAAAGAAGCCCTGATCTCAACTCACCTAAACATGATTTCTGTCCAAAATAAAGACCGAACAAACATGCATGGTGATGTCTTCAGGTTAAGGCAGTCAAAAACAGTCTTTATATTTAAAAATGTCTAATTATTCAAAGACTTTGGGGTCTGTGCAAATAGAATGACTATGGAAAAGATTTCATATTTGCAATATCTTTGCTAGAGCCTTTGAATTAAAGATGAAGTTCTTGTCATTTAAAATCGCCTTTTGCTGATCTACAGAGGCATAATCACTAAATAGAGGAATAAGTAGTCTGCATGAATCTGACTGTTGAAACATTTGAAAATATCCCAGCATGAGGATTTCTTATTCCAAAGCATTCCAAATATTTTATATAGAGTTAAAAGGATTCATGGTCACTAAAGTGAACCATTTCATCTTCTACTGTACCACAGATACTGAGAGCTCCAGTATGGCTGAACAGCTCAAAGCCTGAAACACTTGAAAATAGTATACCCTTCTCATATATCACCCTGTTTCTCATTTGATTCTTATCTTTTCAGGGAGAACCAGAGGGATTAGAAACCTTGAAGGATTCAAAAACCATGACCTACGGACTAAATCCAAGCCTTCTCTTGGCGCTGCTCTGTTTTCTCCACAGCACTGAGGAGACCTGCCCCTCCGTGTGCCTCTGTATATCCGATACAGTAAGCTGTAGCTCCAGCGGACTTACCAAACTACCTCACTCCCTGCCCTCTTTCTCAATAAGTCTCGACCTCAGCCACAACCATGTCTCCTGGCTGAGTCCAGGCTGCTTCAACGGGATGTCCAGGCTGGAAAACCTGCTGATGGCGCACAATCAACTCAAAGCCCTGAATCCTGGAACTTTTCAAAACGTCTCTGGTCTCAGGCACCTTGACCTGTCCTCCAATAAGTTTCGTGCGGTAGAGCAGCACTACTTTCAGGGGCTTTGGAGGCTGGAGGAGCTCCTTCTCTTCAATAATAAGATTGCACGGGTAGAGGCCGGCACACTGAGTGGCCTGAGCAGCTTAAAAAAGGTCTATTTCAGCCTCAACCAAATCACAGACTTCCCTTTCTTCTCAATCCAAGATCACACTCATCCATTCCTGAGCATGTTAGATCTCTCATCCAACCGACTGACCCATCTGCAATGGGAGGATGTGAAAGCTTTACCCAGGTTGGTGCAGCGGGGCCTGTATCTCTACAACAACTCTCTGATCTGTGACTGCTCCATGTACAGCGTGTTTTGGCACTGGGACCTGAGGGGCTATGACTCAGTGAGGGACTTTAAGGAGGAGCATATCTGCTTCATTAACGGAGACCTACGATCGTCCATCCAATTTCTACAACAGAACCGATTCTTCCTCAACTGCACTGTGGAAAAACCTGTTTTGCAGCCCGTAACAGTTCTCCTTTCCAACGTGTTGGTTTCAGAGGGAGAAAGGATGCGTCTAGACTGCCAAACATCCCTGACGAGCACAGATCTCTCCTTTACGTGGCTCTCCCCAAGCAAGGGGCACATCACCAAGGCCAACATAGATGATAATCTAATTAAGCTGCTTCCTAATGGTACTTTGGAGATCCGAGCAACCAAGGTCAATGACTCGGGACTGTATGTGTGCACAGCTGTGGATATTAAACAGGCACTGAATGCAACTCGGGAGGTGAACGTGACGGTGCTGCTGCCCACGGCAGAGTTATTCAACACTGGCTACACAACGCTGCTCGGCTGTATGGTGACTACAACGATTATCCTCATCTACCTTTATCTGACTCCATGTCGTTGCATCTACTGCAAACGGTCAAAGCAGTATGAGTCAAGCAGTCTATCTTCTACCCTCTTCCACTCTACAAGAGACCAGACCAAAAGCCAAACTAATAAACACGTAGCCTTCATTGACCCGGTGATGAATGAAGAAGGAACAGATTGGTCTCTGGAAAGCTGAAGGTTTTTTTTCCACCACCCCCCCCACCCCCCCCACCCCCCAGGCGGAAACTGAAAGTCTTAACTGATAACTCCTCTGTATCTAGCTAGGACATGCTATTTAAGTAATAATACTATAAAGGGAAAAAAAGAACTTCACGTCTCCTTTCCAACTGTCAGATGCAGTTAAGAGGCATCCTGAACAAAGAAAAGAAAGAGAAAAAAAAGCAATATCTCCTGTTTCAATTCTCCTCTTTCTGCCATGTGGCCAGGTAGTCGGAATGAAAGTTTCAACTTTGCTTTATACCCGCAACGTACTGGCACCACCAAATCACAGCGGAGCCATTATCAGTCCTTAAAATCAGCTAATAATTTCTCCGTGCTCAGCTACAGCACTAGGGGGAATATTTCTCATGGGATCTGAGAATGAATATGGCTTCCCTTTCAAAGTTTTGAAGATGGATTAGTTCCCCCCACTCCCAAAAAAAAAAAAAATGCAAGTGAATGACTGTACTGACTGCTGGAACTAAGATCAGTTTGCACACCTTACCTGGATTGAGGTTTTACAGATAGTGTAGAGCAGATAAGTGCTAGCACTGCATAAACTAAAGATAAATTTAAAAATGAAATGCAATATACACCCTATATCCCCTAATGTGTAGCTTGAACATGTAGCACCAGCTCCTGAAAACTTCATATCCTCATTTTCCTAAACTGCTTATGTCTGATTTTGTATTATTTTAGTAATCTTATTTTTTCAGAAGCCATAGCTTACAGCAAACATTTAAAAATCTTATCTAGCTCAAAACAGAGGTGCATCCTGCAGTGAGCCATCATAAATATACATGTTTCATATAAACCTGTTGCATTAATCTGGCAGGGGAAAAAAAAGATCTGCATGCTGCTTATCTGGCAAAGAGCAAAGTGTAGAAATCAGGAGTGTCAAGAACCCAGACAAAAAGCAGCAACTGGCCTGCTCTTCAAAGACAGCATCTTTTTTTGATCAAACACAGCAGAGCACTTTGAACACTGCAGAATAAACACAACCACTAAATTTTGACTGAAGTGACAAATTCTTCAAGCAGCTGTGACTCAAACCCTGAAGGTGGCATTACTTTGTATAGCTTTGTTCTTACTGTTTGGTGTTTTGTGTTTTTGTGCGTGCTTTTTTTTTTTTTTCGACTGAAGTGACTGAATATTGTTTGTTTGTTCTTTTTTTAAATTCAGCAAAACATGCTTCAAATGACAGAATTACACACTCCAACAACAGAGATGAAAGATGCTAAAGAAAAGACTCTCATGCTCCGCACTGAAGGAACAAAGTACATGGGTGAGAGGGTTTTTCCTGCATAAAGACATTTTTGGCACACCCCCCGCAGAGGTTTTTAGCCAGCCCCCAAAGGAAAATCAACCAGCACCAAATGATTAAGGGACTGAGAATAAAAGTAGCAATTTAAATCCTCTCTAAAAGAGCTTAATAACACTTTATCAAACAACCACTCAACAAGCAACGTGTCTTTTGAATTCCAGGGGTCAGGTCCCCTCTAGTCCACAGCTTTACAATCTTTTAGAACTCATTCAAACCAGTTTTGTTCATTGGATTTCATTTACTTAACCCTGCATCAGCATATTGGCCGCATTTTATCAAATGGTTGGAAAAAAGCCTGAAAATGCACATTTTTCTTATGACTTATGGCCTCTACCGTATGTAGATCAATCAGGCTTTATTGCTGCGTATAGTCACCCCACAAAGGCCGTTTCAGAGCCTAGAAAAAACCCTGAGGTTGACTGCATAAAAGAGCTAAGACAGCATATAGCTGGTCGATGATGAAGGGAACCCTGCCGAGACAAACAGCAGCCTCAAAAGAAACAAATCAATTTTCTTCAAGTCTAAGCATCCATAATGTTTTAAGATTGTAGCTTAATCTTAATAAAAACACTGGGTGGGACTAGGGATTGCATCAAGATTGAAAAGGATCAGATGTAATCCTTCATATAATGTCAGGGACAAGTCATCAGTAACTGCGTGTATTACAAAGCAGAGCTTGTCATTGGAGTTAGGGCCTTTGATTATTTTGAAATCCTTAATTAAAACATGACTCCTTTTAAGATAGAGGCGACTAATATTGTTGTGCAGCTTATATGTAAATTCAAGTTCAAAAGGAGGTGGGAAATCTGATATCAAATGGCCAACGGTGCATGAAAGTGGAACAGACTGGCTCTTTGACAGCGATGAGTTTCATCAGTATTAAACTCACAGGGATTAACCCAAAAAAATTCGTGAGACTAAGGCTGCATCCATAATAACACTTTTTTTGTTTTGTTTTAGAACAATGAAAACAACTTTGGTTTTAGAACAGCTTACAAAATAATCTCTGAATATACTAACACGGCTGTAAATGGACATAATATCGTGCATTCACAACATGGGCGTGTGTGTATCAGCGTAAACAGGAAGGAGAGGACTGGGTGCTGGGAGAAGAATACTGAAAAGGATGCACAACAGCGGGGAAAAGTTAGGGAAAGGTTTTTTTAACTGACAGATGATGAGGTAGAAAGTAATACACGAGCATATGGTGTTCATGGACAAAGCAGTAAAAGGTTACAATAAGAGTAATCGTAAAGTTTCTGCCTGCCCAGATACCTACAAAGGATTAGGAGGGATTAGGAGAATTAGGGCCAAAATAATACAAGTATTAAATTTAAAGGACTTTTTTATCTTGTGGTTTTTTATTATAAGGATAAAGTCAAAATTTTGTAACATTTCAAGAATAAAGTATAACAAGTTAGAAAAAAGTTGTTTCGATTCAAACTACACCTGCTAGTAATTGGCAACATCTACAAAATAGTCTTCTTCTTTCAGCTGCTCCTCTTAGGGGTCACAATGGTGGATCATCTGCCCCCAATTCACCTTATCCTTAGCAACCAACCCTCTGCATGCCCCTCTTCACTGCATCCATGGACCTCATCTGTGGTCTTTCACTTTTCATCCTGCCTGGCAGCTCCATAATAACCATCCTGTGCCCAAAATATCCATGAACTTTCCTCTGTGCATGTCCAAACCATCTCAGCCTTGCCTCACTAACTTTGTCATGATTGCCCCTGCCAAATGCCTTGCATATATTAAGATAAATCATACTTTAGACTTAGTAATGGGGATATTATTTCACTTTTAGCACATAAAGTGTGGTAATAACTACTAGATCTATGAGAGCTGACTTTATTTTTGACATTACCACTTTATTCTCAAAGTAGCACCTGAACTTTATAAAATTATAGGGTTTTTTTTCTAATTATAAAATAAAATCAGTAGCGTTTCCTGAAGTTTGAATTTTAAGGGTCCTTTATTGATGATGCTGTGTGGACCTTAGTCAGAAACGATGAGCCGTGATAGATCACCGTGCTATAATGCACTACTCTATTCATGACACCATCACTGATCGAGTATCAAACGTTTTCAGTGTGGTAAGCATCCTTTCTCAACAAAGATTACATAAGACGTTGCTGTGCGCCTGTATGATGTAACGTCTTGTATCTTGTTTTTCAGACACAGTGCACTAGAAACATTAAATGGTGCGATGAGTTGGAGTGAGATTTCAGGAGATTACCACAAGGATAAAAAAACCAGGTTCTTGGTGAATTGCACTGTTTTTAAATCCTTCTAATCCGCTCTCTGACGCAGCAAACACAGCTGGGTTGGGATTTATTGTTTTTCTCATATGATTAGATTAGATTAACAGGTTAAAACAAAGAGGACATGTTGTGAGCTTTTCATGGAGGGCTTTCCATTTCGCCGAGGGTCCACAGGTGATCCTGGTTATGCAAGCTCACTCCAGCTTTAGGAAATAAACCTCAGTGTAGGCAGGATGTCAGAGTCAGGATGAGCGAAGCTGGTATCCTAAAGCTATTTGGAATCCAGCATTTTATTTTAACCTTGTGACAACAAGTACTTAACTGATAATGGGAGGCCTCAACACTGCGTTGCAAAAATGGAATGAATGATTATTGTGCTTTTTCCAGTTCATTTCAGACATGAGGAGGTAGTCAAGAGGCAGATTTGGTTTGCCGAAATCAGGACCCTTCCAGCATTTCATGTTTTGTTTATACTAACATTTAACCGCTGATGGAAAGTCCTGATAATAACACTGTAAAATAAATAGCTAATTTCCAGCATACAAAAAAAATGCAACTCTGTACAGCTCAGTCTTTTTGCTCCCTGCAAATCATCCCGAGGCATTCTGACAAATTACCCAGATGTAAAGGAAGCAACTCCTTAATGCTCGAAAAGATGTCCTTCTCCAAAGCGAAACACTCCATCAGGCCCAAATTAAAGCATGTACTTCCCCTTTCCAGATTAATTGTTTTCCCAAGTTCGACTGGGCTCCCAGGGATTCGAAATCATCTTAGTCAAGAATCTAATTACTGTGAAAGAGGAGTTTTAGTCTGAATAGCACGGGTTGAATTGCTTTCATTCGTGGAAGGCAGCCTTGACTGTCAACACAGGCTATTACTGAACTGTCAAAACAGTCATCAGGCAAGAGTGGAGGCATCCAGCTGTGTTAGATACATACTCATTTTTCAAATGCTGTGACACCCACAAACACACACTCCCTGTGTCACCTACAATCCTTATTTTATTCTAACTGGGCACCTAACTTGGAATATGCGCTTGTGAAAAGCTACTGACTACGCTACATTATCTTTTTTTAGGAGGTAGGTCAGTTGCTTCCAAAAAAAGCCTAAAATAAATGCACACTGCTACACCAGACAACAGGCTGTTCATCATACCTCTGAGCTGAATGCGAATGCAAGCCACGTTCTGTGTTTTCAAAGCAGTGAAAAGCAGCGGGATTTCCAGCAGGGATCTGGTCTCAATCAGAGCACTGTGGAGTACATAGCATATGAATAGTTCCTTAATCAGACCTACAGGCCCGTCACATTTCATTGCAAACAAATGAGTATATGCTCTTAAGCAGCATATTTTGGAGCAGTCTCCTGGCTCACTGTGTCTCACCAAGTAGAATTTAGATGGACATTATAGGATCTGACAATCAAAATGACCCAGTGTGTTTCAAGTTTTATACCGCAGCCCATGACTACGTTTTTACAACACTGTCTTGTCTATTTATTCTTCCTTGGCATTCAGTTGTATTTTTTTCCCACTGGCTTTATTGTACCTGTATCATGCTGTACCGGTTCTTTTGTTATAACGTGTCATACTTGTCCACTAAAAGACAACAATAAACTTTGATGAAATCTGGCTTTATTATTTCTATTAAAAAAAAAGACCTTAACTGTCAGAGACACTAGCGCTACCCAATCTGCAATACATTACAGTGTCACTGGTGGCAGACACTCACAACTGTGCTTTATGATACTATTTGCTACCATACTTACACAATGGCTCTGAGGATTGCAGTGTTGGTCAGTCTAAAACTCTGAAACATCTCAGCTATTATTTAATGGATTCCCATTACTTTTTGTACAGACCTCGAAGAAGGTCTGTACATGTAAGCATGTAAGCATGTAAGCATGCACAGTCATGTGAGAAAAAGGGCTCTATTTGGGACCAATTTGAAAGCAGCGCAAAATATTTTCCTACCAAAACCTGATTTTACACAGGTGGCAACACTTGTTGACTATCAGTTAAACAAGTCAATTTGATTGGCAGCCCCTCTCTGCTATTTACCCACTTAGATCCTAAGGATGCAGTGAGAGTGTGTTTAGATTTTCAGAGGACTGCGCAAAATAGTGTGAAAACTTTTTTTTTTTCACATGAATGTAGCTAGAACTTCTGCTGTGTCCAAGTGCAGCCTCATAGTGTTGCCTGCAAGGCTGTCGTTATGGTATCGCCATGTTGGCTACATTTATAATCTTAATGTAGCTATACAGTATGTGATTGACGGAGACTCATAGAAGAGCACTGGATCACATTTTTTTCCTCTGCTGTGTTGTTTACATTGTTTTGTGCATCGCCTCAAAGGGCTTCATAAAAAAAAGCTGTCTTTAAGCAACATTACTTCTCTCTGCTCAAGCTGCATTCTAATGTAATGTTTGCAATGTTGCCTTTAGGCTGCAAACTAAAGACAAGAAAAACTGCAGTGTAAGGAGGAATGGGTCTTCCATAATGTCAGGTAATGAGAGAAGGGGTACTGGTGTTACACTTGCTCGTGAACAGAGGCAAGTTTGACTCTGGCCCAAATCCCTACATCCTGCAAAGGCACATCTACAAGGTAACACCTAAACCCAGAGATCTCTGCTGCTCACTGAACCCACAGGACCAATTTTAAAGCAATGGAAATACATACTTCTTTTGACCTGGTTCTTTCTTCCACAGTGTCCCATAATCCAATGAAAATTCTTTTAAAGAATCAAGTGTATTATGTTCAAATTGATCACATTTTAGTGGTAAAAGATCTATTCAGATCAGAATTTTCAGCTGAAATACCAACAGAGGTGCACATTTCCTCGAGAATGTACAAATTTAAGATGACTTATTTTTCAAATTAACTACATTTCAGAGAGAAATATTACATTTTAGCATAGATTTGGTGCAGTTCCTTTATTTTTAGGTCTATCTATTGCTTATCCAGATGCAGGTGTTAAGTTTCTCTTATGATCAAACACACCAGAACGGCTTCACATTCAAATTAAAATATTAAGCAATATTATAAAATGCATCATTAACTCACTTTAACATCCATTTTTATTTTTACTTTCTTATTTCTGTAACAACGACAATGCAGGACTTTTAGTTGTAAAGTATTTTATTAATAATATTAAGTGTAGTACAGTACAGGCACTTTAGCTTAAATAAAAGATCTGAAATGTTCTTCCTGCGCTGGGTGATAAAATATCAGTTTAAGAAATACTAAGTAAAAGTTCTTCCATTCTGAATTGTACCTAAATCGACATACTGAAAGCACCAAAAGGTAGAAAAAGCAGAAGTCCTGATTCTGCAGAAAAAAATGGTTCCTCTGACAGAAATATTATTATTTATGACTTTTAATATTGATGCATCACTGCTTTACCAAACATTTTACTCTTGAACCTGCTGCAGTGTGCTACTTTATTATACAAGGCTGGGTAGTTTTATCTGATAAAGCTGAAGTGCTGAGAGATGATTAATGGGGTAGCAAAGTTCTGCTATCCAAGCTTATGTTCATTTTTTTGACTCCTCTTACATCTTTGCCTCTCAAACAGTTATCTAAATGGAAACCAACTGACAGCTTGAGAGTGGAAATATCTTTTTTCTGAGTGGTGGAGACTTCACTCCTAGATTTTCTGAATGTGACAGGTTGTAGAAACCAGGCTTTGTTTTCGTCTGAAAAGCAATGAGAGTTGTCAAATGTAGTGGAGGGACTGGAAGTATAAAGGAGAATAAAACGGAAGTGCTTCAGTCAAGTATACAGGCTCTACTTTAGGGACTAAATGCACATAGTTGCGCTCCAAAATGCCTCTTGGTGACAAACTCATGAAAAATACGACAAACAGAGTGGATGAGAGCATTTTAACACGTTTCAGCTAAAACTAACCTGTTATTTTTGTTTTTGCCAAAAGCTTTTTTTTTCTGTTCAGGTTTATTCATTGTTTTGCCCACATTCTTTGAAAGAAAATGCACCAAGACCTACTCTACTTGCTCTCTGTGCAGATAACTTAAGAGTCAGATATTTTTTCCTCGAACAAACAAGCTAAGGGGAACGAGGGAACATGAGTAAAGACTTACATGAATCGATTAGCCACGAACGAGCAGCTACTGTTAGCTTTAGCACAGTTTAAAATTTGTTATTACGGTGTCCAATTCTAAGAAAGGTAGATGCTTAAATTATGAAAAATGTTTTAAAATAAAATATCCAATTTAATGCTTTAAAATGTCATGGTTTTTTTTTTTTTTTAAAAACTATTTCTGTGGGGATTTCAAAATAAAAGTCTCAAGCTACTTTTTAGGCCGTGATTTAAATGTCCTATTTTCAAAATAAAAACTTAACTTCAAACCTTTTAATTTTTTAACCTCTATGAGTTGCTTGAAATGATCATTTTTACAAACCTCAGCTATCATCTTTCATCTTTTTTTCGTTACAACTCTTAGCAGCAACTAACAAAGGCTAGCAGCAGCAGCATATTCAATTGCATTTTTTCCATAACTTGCATAGTAAATTTTTTATTTTGCATAATCTGTATGTCCCTTTAAAAATCAGTAGAAGTCAGTCTGTTGTTTGTGCTTCATGCTCCAGAACCAAGCATACCTGTATGAGGCATACAAGCCTCAGAACTCCGCTCAATATTGCAATTATAGTGGTTATTTTAAGTATAAATAACCATGTGGAGAAGGTTGCTAAAAGAAATAATAAAAATACATCTTGCTCAGCATTTGTGTGACGGGTCTTAACCATAATTGATTTAGCAGGAAGAACTTATTTTCACATTTCCCTAAGCTTCCATGGCACAGCTGGAATGAGGTTCTGTAGAAAAAGGTGCTGCTAACCCATTTCTTACATTAAAAGCAAACAGCGCCCCCTGGCGTTCCCCTCTATCAGATAGCTGATGAGACAACTCACTCATCGACCCTCTTAACCCTTGTATGGTGTTCGGGTCTGTGAGACCCGTGTTCAGTTTTTGTCAAAAGAAAAATTAAACAATTAATTATTTTTTCACGTGTAAATGTGTTGTGTCTTTCCACTCACTCCACTTGATTATAACTGATTCATTTATAACATTTTATATAAAAGAAAAACAAGAAGCACATTAATTCATAAATGTGATCTAACAAAGGTAAAGGGAAAAAATTAACCATGTTTGCTGTTCATATGTCTTGTAATTGGGATGAAGTAAACATCTGTTGAGTAATTTAACATAAAATTGTTTGATAGTGTTAATTTGGAAAGCCAAAACTCTAGCGGGTCCACCAGACCCATGAACACTGGCTGAGTAACAAAAATACAAACACCACACAAGGGTTAATGAGTCTTTCGGTTGTGACAGAGTTGAAGAGGTGGTTGCACTCCGTATGGAGCCTCAAAGGATGTAAGTGCTGGAGAATATAGATTTATTTGATGTTATGTCAATGTCAGGAAATGTTTCCTTACTGCATTTTTTTTTTAAAGACCTCTAAATCTACCAGCACAAGCAATAACATTTGATGTCAGTATTTTAATTCCATTACAGTACTCTACACTGTCAATATTACACTTTAACTCCATCATCCACCTCCATGCTGAAAATTGAACTGTTTGGTTGGTGAGAAGTTCCAAGGCAAAGAAAAAAAAAAATAGTAAGACAGCTGGGATTTATCTTTTTAATGGTTTGTTTGACACCGTCATCAAACCCATCACACACACAAGATTTGAAATGTTTTATTTTTCATAGAATTCTGGACAACCAAGTGTGTAAATAAAAATAAAAAAAGAAAAGAAAACCAACAGCAAAAGTGAAATTTCATTCACTCTTTTTTTTTCTTTAAAAAAATATCAGCCTTTCCCCTTGTTCACAAACCGTTTCCAAACTGGGACAAACAGAACATGATTAATTCGGAGAAGCTGGAAGGCCATTAACATTTGTTGGCAAATATAAATATAGTGGTTTGAACAGGGTCTCAAATAGCTCACATGGAAAGAGTGTACAGACAGTTTACACGACAGTAGGACACTCAACCCTGCCTGTATCAATTTTTATTAATGTAGAAAACCAGGATCCTTATTTTCTGCTTTAAATCAATGCATTTATGACAAGGAAATATATACATTCAGCCAGCACTTATAGTCTCTGGTGTATGGTGTTTGTGTTGCCTCTTGAATCATGTTGATTGTCTATTCAGGGGCATAATTGTGAGAATATGAATAGTCTGTGTAATAATTTGGTGGCCCACCCCTGCCTGCTGGGTAACCCCAAGAGCAGGGTCCACCTCCAGTCCCACCGCCTCGTTCGTGCCCTCGCCCAGGCCGAGGCCATAGTCCTACAGGTGGGACTCCTCTCCCTCGATAACTTCCTAAAGAACCCGGGCCCATAGCACCCATCATTGGCCTGTGATCCATATGTGGAGGCATGCAACCTATACTGCCATAGCCCACACCAGACATTGGATGTGGAGGCAGCTTAGGTCTGAGTACAGAGCCCCCCCTTGTGGGTACTGTGGGAATACCCACAGATGCACCAAGGCCGTCAGCACAATTCACCTGAGTCCTGACCCCTTGACTACAAGGGGTGCTGCCTATAAGTGCTTCTCCAGTCTTAGCGAGCCCACTGGGATCCACCGGGGCAGGTGGGACCACGGCCGGGTTGCTTGCATTGTCACAAGCTGTGGTCCCTGCAGTCCCCCATACCCCGTCCCCAGGTCCACTGAGTGTCCTGTCCGGTTGATTGGGGGTCCCACTAGCATTCTTAGGGGTCCCAGCAATGAAACCTGGCTGAGCTGCGTCATTACGGTCTGTGAAGGGGGGGACTGTGGTGGTGAGGGGAGAGGTCCCAGCAGCTCCCGCTCCTCCAACATCCGAGCTATATCCATGACCCAGCATCATGAGGTGAGGGGGAGGGGGAGGCTTGACCTCCAAGGGGAGGGAGGCCAGGTTAGCTAGAGGTCCGGCTGGGGGCATGACAGGCGGGGTTGGGGCTCCGGAAGAAACTGCGGTTGGAGGTTCCTGTGTGCCGCTGCAGGGGGAGGCGGGATAGGCTGGGGAGGCCGTGTAGCTAGAGGAACCCGTATATGATGACCACGAGGCCGAAGGGCACAGGAAGCTCTGGTGGGGATTCACAGGGAAACCTCCCGGTGACAAGCTGCCAATGTCTGAAGAGCCCATGCCTATCTGGTTCGTGGCTTTGAACTGAGAGATGGCTGTTTTGAAAGCACTGTAGTTAGACAGTGTAGGCGTCGTCTCAGGGGTGGTCTGCTGGTCTGGGAGCGGAGGACGAAACTCGTTCTCTGGCGGGGGTGGCTGCGGAGGCTTCTTTGCAACTTGCTGCTTTTGCTCTGGAGGATCTAATATGGTTGGTGGCTCGCCATCATCAGAGTCTAATGACATGTCCTCCTCTTCCACACACTCATCATTCACTACTGGGAGACCAGGAGAGGGCAGAGAGAGAGAGACAGAGAGCGAGAGAAAGTGGGAGAGTAATGGAAAAGTGGAAAGAAAGATATAATCAACAAATGTGTTATGGCTGCATTAACAACTGTGCTTTAAAAAACTGTCTGGCAGAACATAAATCTTTAACTGGTGAGATGGCTGGAGAAAAAGGCAATTTAGCAAAACAATGAGATTATACAGAAAACATGAACTCTGCTGTTTCCGTGTTCTGCGCCCTTTTTGATGCTACCCACCAGTAGAAGGAGGTGTAGGAAGCTCGTTCTGATTAATGGATCCGATGAGACTGTGGAAACCGCTCATAACATCGTCGATGCTCGCTATCACAATTCCGTTTCTGGAGTACTGCAGGAACATCTCAAACGGTCTCTCTGTAAAAATGAGCGTTTTCAGTGAGTAAAAGACATTTGCTAACACAACAGTAATACAATCTTAACGAGGCATGTGGAAATGGTGATTTTTTTGGGGGGGGGGGGTGAAGTGAGATTACCTGTGAGGAAGATGAGGTGTCGCTGTTGTGTGTGCTGAGCTTGGAGTTTGATGAGGCAGTCCAGATCTGGAGCCTGCCGCGACTGCGTGTCACACTCGTGATACGGGAGGAACTCCACTAAATGCTTTTTCTGATAGGCTGTCAGAAGATTCAGCAGCCCCATGGCATTAGTGTTTAACCTTTAAGAAACAACAGCAAAAGCAGTTCCATAGAGAGGTCAGTTAAAACCAGTATGGGCAAACATTTTGATGTGGATACAGCTATTATGGCTAATCTCTTACTGAGATACTGACCTCCCAAGCTCTTTAAGTTTCTTCTGGGACTTACAGTGAACCTTCCACTGCCAGGGGTGTTCAGGGGTGCTCTGTTCCTCCAGGAACTTCAGCAGTCCCTGCAAACGATCTGGACAAAACACACAATACAAGTTCAACACGCAATACAAGCATTAGTCGAGTAATATTTGTTTGGACCTTGTACAGTCCACACAAATAAAAACACGACTTACCCTGCGTGATAAGATCAGGGTTGAGGACAAACTCATCAGACACCATGAAGCCGCCAGACACAAAGAGCTCATTGTAAGTGTGGTTCTTGACATCGTCCAGACTGTCCACTCCAGCAAAGCTCACTGAAGGCAACTTTTTCAAAGACACCAGAGCCGGGATCTGCATAATAAAGGAAAGAGTGAGTTTTTTTTAATTCCCCAAACATTAAGTTGTTTTTATAGTTTCCAGATTAAACATCTTTTAATTCGAAATATAAGGTCCAGCATTTAAATCGTTTAGCATCAGGGAAGTGTCTGACTAATCCCAAACTGATTCTTCAGAATCACTGAGAGCCAAAACAACAGACAGCCAGTGTTATTAAGAACTATTTACGTTGATCTGTTAGCAACTGGCCTGAGATTTTAGGGACACTACTAAATAAACAAAGCTAAAACAAACAAACCAAAAAAACCAAAAAACACCCAAAACTTAAAAGCAAAGTACTTTTATAGATACGTATATGTAGGAGACCTGGTGCTCTTTTAAAGGAAAAGGGTGCTCACTGCGAATACTGATCCTCAGTTATTTGGTAGTTTTGTTTACTGCACTGTGTGAAGTAAATTAAAGAGAAATAATTCATGATAATATTTTAAAAGCATCCTTGCTTTGCTATTGGCGCTAAAACCTTTCCGCAGCACTATAACTAAATAGAACGTGTGAATAACAGGCAACAAGACGAAAAACAGCACTCTGCGGGAGATGTAAAACTTCCCATTATTTATGTTTTATCGCTACCTGCCTCAGCGGGTGCCGATTCATCCGAACTACAATCTGGATGTGAGCGACTGGAGGGAGGATAACGGGCGGCGATTGTACCTTATGCACATGTGCTGCGATGTCCTCGTTCCGAATGATGATGAGGAGTTTATCCAAACTGCTGCTGTTTTCCAAAAATGTCTGTGGGCTGCACTCGCTGTTGCCAAGACTTTTCAAGTACTCCTTTGTGACAGACAGGAGAGGATGAGATTGTTAGAGACAGACAGATGAATGTGTCTTCTTCTTTTACACATACGAGTACTGACTGACTGACAGATACAGAAAGAGCTGAGCACTAAGACATGAACCCACAGTGACAAAGAGAAGCTATTGCAGCCTTGCACATTCCCACAATGACCTGTATTTGCACTCATGGTATGCATCCCCTCTGAAGAATAAACATGAGCTCTCTGGTTCCAGTAAAAGGAGAAAAAAAAATAGTAATGAAGAAAGTGAAAGAAAACATGTAAAATGGGCAGTAACAACACCATTACTGCCGCAACCAATTACGATTTTCATTGCCGAATTCTTACAATTTTCTCCAAAATATTAGTTTTAGCCATAAAAACCTGAAAAAGTGCTTTTCCATCTTTTTTAATGAGCCCACACTGCGTGCAGTTTGCTTGTTATATGCCTGATTCACACTCCAGCAGCTAATGATATTTGAAGACTATTACACACGACAATGAAAACAGCAAATGCCTTTTTCTGAAAACATTTGGCATTTTTGAGTAAAAAAAACTAAACTTTTTGTTCATTATCAAATCATCACGTAACCGCTGGAGCTCGGTGTAACATTGTTAAGTAGTTCTTCCAAAATGGTAGCACTTTAGATGTCAACTAGGGGTGTTAAGGATTGAGGACAGTGTGCACTCATTAGTTAATGACTACTCACAAGTCGTTAGCCAATGAGCAAACCCTGGATATCCTCCTTCCTGACCCTAATAATGACCATAATTTATAAAATGAACTTCACAGTTTATTAGACGTGACCTGGAAATCATGCCTGAACAGATAAACCCATCTGAGGTCACAGAGCAATGTAGCCAAGAGCTATTTTCCCATTGACTTCTACACAGCATGTAATCTTTTAGCAGTCAGAAGAATTGCCCTCTGCTGGTTATTAGAGAAAATGCATGTTTAAAGCACTGATGTTTGCTGACCTGGAAATGACATCCATCTTTTTATACTATGACTGATGATGATGACTGTGACATTTAAGCAGTGAAATATTGGAAATCCTAGACTTGTATAGAAAATAACTATGCCACTGTTTTCTTTTTGTTTGTTTTTTTAAACCTTTGCAGATTTACAGACTCTTTCCACCTCTTATTTATATTTTGAGATGCCCCCAAAACAGATGCAAACACAAAAAAAAAAAAAAAAGATTATTTCTGCTTTTATCTTTCAACTCAATTTCCTCAGCGTCATTTCTATTACTGTCTGGCTTTTTACTGACTGACTGTATTGTAGCTGCAATAGGTTCAGCTGCAATGAATTATTTATAGAATCCTGTGGTTAATCAATAATCTTTACAAACATAATGACATAATGCATTGTACCTTGATCTCCTTGCAGACAGCGCTCTCCTCCCCCTCGTCTCCAGAATAGATGTAAAATTTAACTGTATTCTTGGTAACGTCCTTAAAAATCTCCACCAGGCTGCTGAAAACTTCGGGTTTCAATTGACCAATCAGGCTGCCGGCTAGCAGCCCAGGCCCACTGCCAGAAGCTGCGCCTGGGTTTTGTGAGTTCTGCTCCGGAGACTCCGCTGTGACTTGAGAAGGAGAGTAGACCTCTCCCCCCGTCTCTGCTGACGGGGCTTCCGATTTAATCTTAGTGGATGTCATCTCTTTGATGGCGCTTGTTTTACTGCTCTGTGAGGAGACGGTGCTCTTTGACAGAGAGGGCTCTGCTTTCGTTTTGGTGGTCGGGATGGGGGCAGGGGGTGGGGTAGTAAGATTAGATGGTGTCAATGGGGGAGGTGGAGAAGTGACCTTGGAGGGAGCAGGTGGGGCTGGGATCAACTTGTCCATCTTCTCGCACAGCGCTTTGACGTGCCCCTGAATGGGGACAGGGGAGACGTAGGGCACAACGAAGTGTGAGAAGCAGCTGCTAGACACCCAGCAGTGGCGAGGAGGCAACCGCGGAGGCAGCTGCGAGGTATAGTTGATGTGTTGTGTGTGCATGATATTTTTAATGTCAGAAGATAGGCTATGGATTTCCTGATTTAGTATTGTGTCCAAGCTGATGGAGGGCCTGAATGGAACTTCCTCTACAGCAGGTAGCGTGGGTTTAGGCATCTTTTTTACTTCCACAACGGCAGGCGTTTTCGGCTCTGGGTCAACGTCTGCCGCTGGCGCAGCCACTGGCACAGGCTTTGGCTCAGGCTTCAGCTCGGACTTCAGTTCGGGTTTCAATTCAGGCTTCAGCTCAGGCTTCGTCTCGGACTTCAGCTCTAGTTTTGGCTCGGGCTTCGGCTCGGGCTTCTGCTCATTAAATGGCTGCGCTTTGTCTGAGGAAGCCAGATATGAAATTAGTCACGGTGATGCCTTGTTAGCACAAATATGCCTCAAAGATTGATGACTGTGTGAACTCATTGCTTTCAGGTACCTTCGTTGGCGGGGATATCCCAGGTTGTGTTTTCTGATGTGCATTTTTGCTCTGGTGGGGAGCCCGGGCTGAATGGACTACCTGGGCTACAGTCCATGTCCTCCTGCACAGAGAGAACACACCAGTAGATATTTTTAAGTACAATAAAATACTTATTCATCTTTGGATAGGAAAAAATATTCCAAAATAACAACCCTATCAGCTGTTTACATCTCACCTCGGCGTAGTTCGTTTGTGACGGAGGCTCGTTTTGTTTCCTATGGTCCGGGTCGTGGTAAACGGGTTCCACCCTTCCTGAACCTGTTGATGGTTCACCGTGGTTTGAGTCTGCAGACACTGAACCCTGAGCCACAGCTTTATTGAGTGTGGCCAGGAGGATCTTGAGAAGGCGTTGGGTCTCGCTGACGGCTGAGGTATTGGTGTTGCCACGGGCCCTTAGGTCGGTGTCATAGATCCCCATGCTCTCCATCACTGCTGTCAGATTTTCGTTCTGCCCACCCTCATCCACAAGGTCGTCCCCTTGTGCACCTAGTGGGGCACAAGTAAGGCAGATAAGTTAACAGTAGTGCATGTTTTGAAACTGCAATACAGATGTGCCAAAATAAACTTGAGGTTATTCGGAAACCCTCTCATCATTTCATCACATAGGTTATTTTTCAGCTTTAGGATGTTCTCCTCAGTATGCACAGATATTCAAACAGCCCCCTGGGTTAGCGACAAAAAGACATGCATCTTGAAATGAACCTGTTTAAAAATGTATTGAAGTTATTCAATTCCTGAGAACTAATCAGACTGTTGTGAAACGAATAAAATATTCATTCATTCAATTGGCTGTGACTTAAATTCTACGACTGAAATCTGGCTCCACAGGTGATCGCAGCGCGCCTCACCTCTGCTGGGTTCCCCGTTGCTCAGCTGATCTGTGCGTTGATGTTTGTTTGCGCCTCCTCTCTCGTCCCCTTCAAATTTCCTTTTCAGACTGTTGGCATCCCAGGCGCCGTCCTCCCCCCGATCCTTCCCGGGATCCTTCACGAGTGCCTTCTTATGAAGCTGAATTAGCTTAAGCAGCTGTTTCATTTTGTCTTTATCGTACTCGTTCTGGGACAGCCGCAACCTCTGCGGCTGAGGCTGGGACTCATCGTGGGGCTTGTGTTGCAGCTGGGCTCCGTTTGAATGGGCCACCGCTGGCCTCCGTCTACTACTGCTACTAATACTACTGCCGCCGCTGCTGCTGTCAGTCGGCGGTTTTTCCTGGGCTGGCCTTTCTGTAGGCGCCCTCTCCTGGGACAGCCTTTCTGAGGGTCTCTCTGCTCTGTCCGAGCCCCTGTCCGAGCCGCCCCAGTCAGAAACAGGGCTGTATTCCACTGGGGCTGGAGCGGGTGCGGGTACGGGTGCAGGGTTCCGTATTCGTTCAATGATGTCCTTTGCCTTGTTCAGAGGTAAAATATAGTTTGCGGGGTTGTGAACGTACGATCGCAGCACAGCATCCATGTTACATTTGGGTCTGGGTGCTGTGACGGGGTTCGTCCTTTCATTTACATTATATTTGTAGTCGGGTAGGATGAATGGACGCACTGTGCCCGAATCCATACGAGTTAGGTAATCGGTGGCCTGACGCTCCACCCCAGAGCTCAGGTCCTTGCCTGGGTTTGGGCGCAACTTGAACAGGCCATAGTGCACTGCGGGGATGAAAGACTCCATGGATGACAAGAAAGCCGGATGAGGCTCCACCGTCAGCGGCTCTGGCTCGAACAGCCTCGATGCTAAGAATGAGGAGGAAAAATGCATCAGAATCGTGTAAAAACCGGCATGACAAAGATAACAGCGATAAACAAAAATGAAATATTCTTTAGCGTTGCACGGAGATGCTGGCACTCGGGATCAGTCAGAAAATGCATGTAGAGACAATGAATACGACTTACAGTACTTGACGATCATCCTTGGCTCCTGAAAGATGAATAATGCTTGCAGGTTCTTCTCTACCCGCCCCCGCCGCTCTAGAAAACAAACAGAGAACCTTTTTAAAACCCAAACTCTCACCGGAGGCAACAAGTAGGTGTTCAACTCACACAACAGAGAATTACAAGAGGAGAGTGGCAGATAAAGCTTTCTGGCACCTTTGGATTCAACCATCTGAGCAGAGGACAACAGGAAGAGAAAGCCTTTATCAAATAAGGACTTCACCAGCACCTGAAGAAGAAAAGCAAAAGCTGCAGTCAGAACATCAGGGAATAGATCATTATCGCACAATGGGAGCAATCATATTACCAGTCTGTTTCTGGACAGGATTTCATTTGCTCAGTGTGTAAATGAGTGCTAAACTGACAGGTTTATGCCATTTGTTTAAAATTACTGAACAAAATAGAACAGGATTAGCACGGCAGCTTGACAGATGACATCCCTACACTGTTTTCTAAGCAATGAGAAAATGGAACTGTTTATGAAACGAGATCCTCCTTAATTGTATCAAACAAATGCACAGAAATGCAAAGTTGTCAAAACAGAAAGGAGCATTTTATTTACCTGAATATTGTACAACCTGAGAATGTTGTGTTTATTTTGCTGAGAGAACCTGGATAAACTGCAGGTATGTGACTCACCATCCGGTCTCTCTCCAGTTTGTTGACCAGAGCGGCCAAGCTGCCGCTGGTTGGTTTGCCTTTCCCGTCCACCACCTCAAACAGGCTGCAGGACATCCCACACTTCATAACTGCAGACAGAAATAAGCAGGCGGGAATGCGTTACTCGGAACTCAACATGTAATCATTTATGATACACACACACACACACACACACACACACACACACACACACACACACACACACACACACACACACACACACTACTTTACTGAGACAGCCGGGCTTCATGATGCATGAATGCTTTTAGAAAAGCTTTACAGAATTTCAAGTAATGCACAACCGCCCACATGCCAGG